TGGCACAAATTAAAAAAAGTTATACAGATTAAAAAAGTGACCGGTAATTAAAAAAAGTGACTCAAAAAGTGACAAACTCAAACTATAAAAAATTATAACATCCCTTCAAATTAAAATAGATGGCTCACGAAAAACCAACCAAAACCACGGTAGAACAGACTAAATCAAGAGCATCCACTAAAATCAACTAAATGCAATCAAAATAATCACCAAATCTATTGAAAAGCCTCAAAATCCAAGAATATTAAATTGCATGCAAAACCCAGTCAAGAATTTCTCAAGAACGGATCTCTTGCAACGTGCTCCAAAAATTAAAAGAAATCAAGGGTTGGATCCAAATGGAAATCAATTTTCTTGCCCTTCCTAAAAATGAAAAAATCAATTCTTGACTACTTTCCCCTTCTTCTATATCAAACCTACAGAACATGAGAAAATCTTGAGGATGCTTCCTAGTAGATGCAGCATCACAATTGAAGCAACCTTACAACTAATCAAATTCTAACAACCCGGAGTAAATAATGATAGAAATCAAGGAGGTGATTGAAAAAGTGATAAAAAAAAAATAATAATAATAAAAAAAATTGACAAAATTCAAAAAAGAGAATCTGGTTTCTGAGCTGGGTGCAGCGTCGGCATTGCTGGAAGAGGCGGAGTATCTGAAACCTCCTTCGGACGCCTTACAAATGTATCAACATAAATATTCTTGGTGTTCTGCTCTTTTTCTCGATCAATTTCCTCTAAGCTCCGGCGGCGACGATGAAGCTGGCTCGAATCGGAATCCCAATAAGTATCAACATGTACATCATCATAGAATCGCCAGCGTTCATCTTCATAACTCCAATTTGATGAAAATTCCCGTAGATCTGGGTAAGAACTACTAGTCCTCCTCATGGTGGAACTTTTGTAGAGCTTATGTTCATTATCTGATGAATATTGATCACACCATTGAGATGGATTTGATTTCTGGGTTTCATTTGTAGAATAATCATACCATTGATGTGGGGTTGATGGATTTTATTTTTGGGTTTCATTTTGTTTAACCGTTGAAGTTGGATGTTCATCATAGTATCTATCTCCGTTCTTCTTTCTGCTAAGAAATCCAAACACTACAGCTACAAGAACCAGTACTATGTTCAAAGAATCCCAACATTTCTTAACATTGTTTGGTCTAAAAATCTGAGCACTAAAAGAAAGAGTGGATGATGTTAAGAAATATATGATTATTTTGTTAACATTATTTATTAAGGGTAGAATAGTCTTTTAAGTTTTCTTTATTTTAGACTATATATAGTCTCTTTGTATCTAGGTTTTATTCATTCAATTACATTATGCAGAATCAATAAAACCCTAGCCTCTTTTTCTTCTTCTCCT